ACAATCCTGCCCATGCACCTCCTGAAGGTGCCAATCCCACAGTGGGTTGAGGGTCCAAGACCCCCTTCTCTGAGGGAGAGTTCCTGAAGGTGAAAAGAGCTTCACCTAAAGCCAGTTTCAAGGAGTCTAAGCCTCAGTCTTGCAGGAACCAAGCATCTGCCACCAGGGGAGGACAGGTCACCAAGAGGAGCCGCTGCTTCTGCCAAGGCCACTACCGGGATGTCCCATCTCACTACAGCCCGAAGAAACAGGGCCAAGTGATCAAGTCAGGGACCACAATCTCTGTCACTGAGAGCCAAAAGAAACTGCTTCCTGGACTGGGGATTTAGCTCAGTGATTCCACCTCTTGCTTCACAAGGGCAAGGACCCAAGTTAGATCCTCGGTACCCACCCCACCCCCCGAAAAGAAACTGCTTCCTTTTCAGCTCATTTTCCCAGGAGTTTGTCACAATAACAATAAGCCAACACTCTCCCCCAAACAGTCTGTTTATGTACTTTTGCATTTAGCCACCAAGACTATGATATCATTTACTCAATGACCATGTTACCTAATCTATGAAACATTTACATTTTCCTATCAAACTTACTCCTATCTATCATTTGCTGTCTTGTCTTGGGTTTTCTATAAAAAGACCTAAGTGTTTGTGAAATGAAAACTTACTTTGATGATTTCCTGTGTTACTTCTGGGCTTAGAAAGTGATTCCTCCCTCAGGGTTTTGCAAGTATTATACTCACTTATTGAAGGTTCTCATGTGTTTAGCTCTTCACATTTTCTAGAATTTCAAATAAGATTTAGAGTCAATGAAAAACTCTCTTCTTTCGATGACTCTAACCTGGTCGATGGCCATCTCCCTGTGTCACCCTGTCCCTCCAGGATCCGCCCTCCACTTATCTCTAATCCTGGCTGGCTTCTTCAAGAGTGCCCTTCTTGTACCCTCTTAAAAAGCAGATTGCGTCGCACCAGGGAGGGAGAGGAGGAAGCAAACACCTAACTGGCTAAACATGGAGAGAAGTCCACAAGTTATATTTTTCAAAAGTTTGCTTAGTTCAGTTACTTCCCAGGAAATCCTTTCTCTTTACTTTTAAATCTCTGAAAATGGTCAGTCTCAGCCTGGCCACATCAACATTCATGTGAATATTAGTGAATTTTCCAGCAATGATGTCCCCTCTCCCTTGACCAAGAACGGAAGAACTGGCCAGGGTGGCATTTCCCATGAGTTGTGGAGGTGACCACTCCTGGAGACCCAGGAACTCAGGGGAAATACAATGTCAATACAAGTTACAACCTTAGTTTTAATGGGCAGCTAGTAACTTTGTGTTTGTGTGGTACTGTGTGACATTTCAATACGAGTGTACAATGTGTAAGGCTCAGACCATTAGCAGACTCATCACCTCCAGCATTCACCATTTCTTTGTGTTGAGAACATTCAGCTCCTCCCTCTTAGCTGCTGTGAAAGAGATGATGGGTGATTGGTGACCATGATCACCCCACGGTGCTGCAGAACCTTCGGAGGCACTCCTATGTTCGGAGGTACTTCGGTCTGCCTGCACCCCGTGCCTGACACAATCCTCTCACACAACTTCGTTTCCTACTGAGATTTCTATCATTCTTCACCACTCTGGCTATGGAACTTTCAAATCTGACCTGTCCTTCCCCATTCACCTGGTGCTATTTTCAGAGTTAAGGGAAATGGCACCTCTCGTCTTTCACGTTTTGAAAGTTAATTTCCTCCTCTATCACATCTGTTTAGATTCCAAGCAATCAAGTTTTCCACCAAGACCTGAGCTCGCGATGTACTGCCTGCCCGAACATGGCATTCTACTTCTTTTTAATGTTGTTTTTCTCTTGACAAGACAGGTTAGGAATTCCAAAATGTCTTTTTTTTTTTTTTGAGTCTTTGTTATTATCCATGGAGATTAAAATAATATATTCCTTTTGTTGGTACATCTGTAAAAGAAGTAAACGTTCTGTCTTTGTAAACCTGCGTAATTTGATTTAGGTGATTTAATAGCAATATACTTATGCAAATTGTTTGTTTGTTTGGTTAGTTTATTGAGATAGGGTCTGCCTTTATAGCCCAGGCTGGCCTTGAACGTGCAAAGATCCGCCTGCCTCAGCCTCCTGCATGCTGGGATTGCAGGCATGTGCCACCACACTGGCCTCCCTCTCCCACTCTTCCCTAACAATAAACCCTGGAGGTTTTTCTGGGGCTCTATCTCCCAGCTCCCAGGTCACCTACCCAACTTCCAAGGTGCTCTCTTTGTAAGAACAATTGTGTGCTCTTTGTCCTTTTTGCTTCCTGTCATCCAGAGGTTAGCCAGGCCTATGGTCCAACTAGTAGCACTGAGTGGGCCCGGCTGGGGGCCAACAGAGCCTCCTGGACCCAGGAAGACCCAGCCTGGGTCCTGGGTGACTGTGTGCAGCAGAGCTGTCTCAATCTGCTCTCTGACCTAGTACAGGAAAGCAATTCTGAAATGCAGTGATAGTGAGTACCTGAAGTCACAGCTCCTGGGGAAGCTGAGGCAGGAAGATCTCTGAGTCTGGGAGTTCAGTGATACTTTATCTCAAAAAAAAAAGGAAGAAAGGTTTATGAAATGGAGTGAATAATTGAACACAAAAACCAGGAATCACAAGTAAATGGTACAAATGGTGTATAAGGAGAAAAATATGAACAGCTCTTGGACATATAAAAGTGAGTCAATTTATTCTTAATAAGGAAAAAAACAATTAAAATAGCAAATGATCTGAATTGATAATATGAAAACAGTAAACTTCAAGGAAGTAAATGAGAAAAACACAGAAATAAAACTCATACAGCAAAGGAAACATACACTAGAATGCTGTGAACTGGCAGTGTGGGCAGGATCCCGGTGAGCAGTCTGCCTGTCCCAAAGCGGTGAAATCATGGAATTGAGTGAGAGCATATAATGGGCTCTTGCTAGCCCCTGTCAGTCTATTATGGTGAAACCATCCAGAATACAGCAAAGGTTGCATGCACAGAGGTTTTCCTAACAATACCGTGCCTGAGAGTGAAGAATTAGCATGTACACGCCAGCAGCCGAGAGATGGTCGTTACGCATCCATTCCGAGGAATATACAGCAATCACTGAAAATGAGTCTTCCCAAAGTGGCTACAAATGACGAGAAAATTGATACCTTTTTAGGTAGAAAAAAACAAGTTTCAAAGACCGCAGGCAGTATTCACTTTGCTGCCACACCACGGATGCCTGTCGTCCACCTGAGGCCTCAGAGTTTTGTGCCCCAACCAACGCTCGGGCAGCCCTCACTGCTGTCTGCACCCGGCTCCTCTCCAGTAGATCGTCCACACTCCTGCAGGTTAATTTTCTCAGTGTTTGTTAACAAATGTTGACTCCTAGCCAGGAATTGTCCCAGAGGCTGGACTGTGTCCCTGGACAGAGGGAGCCCTGCACCCCCAGGCTTGTGTGACTGCTGGGCCATGCAGGCACAGCCGGATGCAGGACAGCAGTGGGGTCAGCTGTGTGCATGTCAGAAGCAGAGGCACAGCATGTATCCAGAGCAGGATGTGGCTCCGGCCTGCAAGGGTGAGGGAGGAGCAATGGGCAGATCCCATGGCACTCAGCGGCTCAGCGCAAAGGGCTGTGTAGACTCTGGGACAAAGGAGAAGTCTCCACCCTGCAGGCCAGGCCAGGCTCAGAGGCTGGAGAGGTGCCTGGTTCTGAGACATGTGACGCCAGGCCTCAAAGCTTCCTAGAAGACAGAAGGTGACTACCCGCTGGGGGCTGTGCGACAGGGACTGTCCTGGCTTGGTGGACACAGGACATCTGAGACTGAGAGCCTGCAATGCCCCACATGGGGTGCTGGGTGGCCAGCACAGGGAAGATCTGTCCACACACACTTGGAGTGAGAGTGCAAAGGCTGAAGTTTTGGGAGGGCTGACTCATCACTGATGAGTTACACGAAGTGCAGCCTTTGTGACCACTGCACCTTTTGCCTTGATTTAGGGACAGTGTTTGTTCTGAAGAGTAGTCATCCTGGCAGTTGAGTCTAAGGTTCACCCAGACGCTGGAGCAGAGGGCAGTGCCCCTTCCTGAACCCCAAACACTTAACAGCTGTGTTTCTGCCCTCATCCCATTCTGGCCTTTGCAGCTCATCCAGATGTCTCATCCTGTTTCCTGATGCTGTAACAGAAGGCTTGAGATGGAGTGATTTCTAGAGAAAAGAGGTTTACTTTGACTCACAGTTGGGAGGAAGGGGAATCCAAGAATGTGACACCAGGATCTGTTTAGCCTCTGATGGGGGCCTCATGGTCATCACCACGGAACTACAGGCAGGACTCACAAAGAGAGAGAAATTAACCTCCAGGTGATTGACTGACCAGGTCCTCAAGCATGAGCACATGCTGGTGAAAGACAGGCAAGATGGGGCTGGGTGTACAGTGCTCACCCAGTGTTCATAAGTCCCTGGGTTCCATCCCCTATCCCCAAACCAAACAGAGGCTTCAATGAGACCTTGAAGCTCATCCTCTGGAACTCAGCCACCTCCCCGTGGTACCGTCACTACACACAGCACTGTGCCAACACAGGGACTGTAGGGATGCTTTCTCCCCATCCTGCCCCAACACCACAGTGCCATCACCCTGGCAGTCTGTGCTTGGCTGCTCCTGCCTTTCCAGGAGCTGTCCCCTTCCTCAGTCTCCTGTCCATGTGGTGACTATTTGGAGACCCAGCAGGCGACAGACCACCCATAGATCAGAAGCCAGGATAGGTGCAAGGCTGCTGTGTCTTCTGTATTTTAAGTTCTACAATCAAGCAGGGTAGTTTATATAATTCTTTACACTTTGGGGTGCATTATTTCCCTTTTATTCAGAACTGACTGCAGATGGACTGGCTGTAAACACACAACCTGCAGGGTGGGTTATAGTTGACTTGACAAGTGGCAGCAGTACTTTGTGACCAAAGCACTAGACCGTGTTTCCTGCTTCCTTACTAAAATGCTCCTGGCTTTGCATTCTCACAGTATTTGGAAACCAGCCTGTGCACAGATGAGTGGGAACTGACAGTTGTACATCTCTGAACCTGCAGCCTCCAGTCTCCGACAGGTAACTCAGCTCCCCAGGTCAAGTGAGGGCCGTGATGGGTTTGAGGGGTACAGTGGGACCTGCAGCCGGAGCCTGGGGTCTTTCCCATTTCTGCTTGCCACTAGGGTGATGGAAGTCTGTCCAGCGGAAGGTGGCTGGGGAAGATGTCAGAGGGTCAGTGACAGATGTGGAGGATCCAGCAGGAGTCACCCTGGCTTCTCACCCTTGCCTTCTGCGAGCCAGGACAAGTTCTCTGTTGTTTTGACATCTCCATGTCTTATTTAAACAGGATAATAAAAAGTACATTGTAGGATTGTGTGTGTGTGTGTGTGTGTAAGGGCTTTGAAAGTTTGGAACACATGTGCATATGACATTCTATCCTTCTGGTAAATATTATTTCCTCTTTCACTGGGATATTATAACACTGGAGGTGTTATTGACACAATAAATCCTCACACCGAGACGGAGTGTCAGAGATTTTGCTGATATCACATGTGCCTTAACCCTCACCCTGCTGCACAAATAACCTGCTGGATGTTTGTGTAACAACAGCTGGCAGTCAGAGCACCAGCCCGAGGCCAGGCACACATGACAGGCATTTTCCCAGCAGTGGGGAGGGCCAGCAAGGACCCTGCCCAAGTGACAGTAAGGAGCAGGGGTCAAGGTGGGGGTGGGGGCCAGGGCCTATCTGCCCTGCCTGTGCCCTCTGTGGGGACAGAAACACCCCTATCAAAGGGGCCCACATATCTTAAACACATGGCTGCTCTGGCCAAGTCATCCCGGCGACAGGCACACGTGAAGACCTTCTCTCATGATGACTCTGATGTCTAATTTTGCCTTTTCCTGTGTACAGACAGTCATGGTGACATGGGCCAATACAGGGCAGGGAAGCAGCATTCTTGGATTCCCAGAAGCTGCACCTGCAGCAGGGCCACGGGGGACATTGCTTTCATAGATCCTTCCCCGTGCCCTTGCGACTCAGCCCTGTGGCACAACCCCTGAGACTCCTGCTTCCATTTTACTACTGTTGGGCCAGGGATTTAGCTCAGTGGTTCTGCTGCTTGCCTTGCAAGTGGAAGGACCTGAGTTCAATCCCTAGTACCAAAAATAAAATAAAATAACATAAAATAAAATGTACCATTTCACTACTAGCAAACAGCTCCCCAGTTCCCATCTTGCCACCCTGGCTCTGGTGGCGAAGACAAGGCTGGAGCCTTCAGAAAGGAGGCCAGCCTGGCAGAGGGGCACAGCATACCAGAAGGACGTCACATCTCAGATGCCCCTGCAAGGATGTCATCAGATCTGTGAGGACTGACCTGCCAAGGCAGCCCTCTTCTCTGTCCCCACTGTGGGCATCTGACCCTCTCTCAGCCCTGTTCAAACCTCTGAACTCTTGGGCCTCCGTCTCCCTGGTACTCCAGGGAGTGTCAACCAAGACACCCCTGTCATGGCCACATCAGTCCCCACACAAGGTCCCCTTCGCTGAGAATCCGCCTGTGGCTCTGGGCACAGACAAGACTGAAATCCACATCCTGCAGCTTCAGGGTGTGAGCCTGGGAACAGACTGCAGGGGAGCACAGGCTGATGGAAGTGACATCCTCCATGGGGAAAGCAGCTGGGCTTCTGCGAGAACCAGGCACAGAGGCCTCTCACTGCTGGAAGCTACAGGGAGGAGGAGGAAGAAGAGGAGGAGAAGGAAAAGGAGGAGGAGGAGGAAGAGGAGTGGACTTGGCTAAATTAAAATTTAGATCAGGGCTAACACTCTTCCCCTGTGTGAAACTCACATGTAATTTTAAACGAGCTAAACCTCTTTGGGTTCAAAATACCACCTGGCCCGCAATTACAGGAAATCCTTCTATTCCAGTCCTGAGATTTCCCTGTGCAAGGCATGTGGCATCTGATCACAGTAAAAACAGCATGTGACCCACTGCTCACTGGCCACATGGAAGCCTCTCTCCAGGGCTGTCACTGCAAGTGAGCTTTACGTGGTCTAAGGGATGTTGAGGCAGGGCAGAACCTCAGTTCATCCTGACAATGTGAGTGCAATGCCCTCAAGGCCCAGGGGTTACGTGGCTGACATTTTGCACCAATACTGATGCTGCTGGTCTGTGGAGCACACTTTGAAAACTACTGTTCTGCTGGGCGTGGTGGCACATGCCTGTAATCCCAACCGTTGGGAGACTGAGGCAGGAGGAATCACTGTGAGTTAGAAGCCAGCCTGGGCTACATAGTGAGTTCAGGCCAGTTTTCATTACATAGTGAGACCCTGTATCAAAAAAAGAAAAGAAAACCACTGTTCTGCAAAAACCTGAGCTATTAATTTCTCCCATTTCTTATAAATCCAGGAGTGCTGGATTAAGGATGGGAAAGGAATTGGCTTTGAAGTAAGACAAACCCAGGCCAAATTCCCAGCTCTGCCAATTACCAGCCGGGTGGACTTAGAGAAACTGCTTCTAAGGTTTTAGTTTCCTTATCTGTGAGAAATTGATCATAAAAGTGCCAGGAAGCATTGTTGCCAGACTATCCAAGGCCACATAGATGCTGCATGCGTTTGCTTTCAGGCCCTGCATAGCCAAGGCCTTTGTCCAGGTGGTGTTACAGAAACAATGCCTTGCCTGCATAATTGTGAAGTCTTTGAAAACACATATCCACAGCCCAAGAGCTGGAATCTTTTTCTGGGACATTTGGCTTCTGAGTTCCGTAAATAGTGTTCATCGGCTTTGGTTACTATTTGGTGCCTTTTAAGACAATGTCCCCCTGAGCCACGATTGCAATGGCCTGGGAGCAAGGTGCAGACACACCCAGGATGTCACAGCACTCCCACCGCCTGTGGAGGTGGCATCTAGGAAGCCTTGTGTCCCATGGGTAGGGGAGGAGTGGATCCCTCCGCTGTGCTCACAGCAGAGTCTGGTGGTAGGCGGCATTGCACCGCACTGCATAGGAGGCTCCCAGGTAGGTCCCTCCCGGGATAATTTCCAGGCAGAAAACAGGCTCCAGCCAGGGATGAGTCAGTACAGTGACTGGGGATTGAGGCTCTCTGTAAAGCGCTGTTTTGCTCTCTGCAGCTCTGTCATTTCCATATCCATCATCTCCTGGATTAAACACCAGTCATGCCAGGGAACATTCTCGATGGCTTTCAAGTTCTTTCCCATCTTCCCTCAAATCTCAGGAGACACCTTGGTCAGTTTAGTCGGCTTTGTTCAACAGGAAGACCTGGGAGCCAGCCGGGTGTCCATGGATGGGTGAAAGGACAAAGGAACCATGGCACCTGCGGACAATGACATCTGCAGCTGTATACAGGAAGGACATGGTGGCACCTGCAACACTGTGGCTGAACCTTGAGGACATTGTATTGGATGAAACAAGCCAATCCCCGAACGGCAGACACTGTAGGATTCCCCTGCATGAAGTAGTGAGGGGGTCAGATCTGAGGACAGAGAGCACAGTGGCTGTCATGATGGCTGGGGAGAGACAGAACAGGGAGTTAGTGTCTGATGGGCACAGAGTTTCAGGCCAGGAGATCAAAAGTCCTGGAATGCCTGTGGTGACAGCTGCACAGCAAGGCGGGTGTACTTCATGCAGGTTACCTCACCCTTGAAAGTGGTGAGGGTGGTTTGTTTCATTATGTGTATTTTAATACAAAAAAAAATGTATAAGCAAAGCTCAAATGAGCCCAGCTTGGGGACTGCAGGTAATGCAGGGCTCATGGTGTCTGGAGTTTGCCTCAGTGGCCCTGTAAGTCCATAAAGAACAGGGGAAATGCCTGGAATGAGGGGAGGACCATATGCCGATGAAACCTTAGGCTCGTGAGGTGATACAGGCACGGCCAATAAGAGCCCAGCTTTCCCCGTGTATCTAACACAGGAGGTGGCTGTTGAGAGATGTTGGGAACTGAATCATTTACATTCCCTCTGCTGTTCAGGCACCACTTTCTTGCCTTCACCAGCAGTTTTCATTCCGTATAATTGAATCTATGGGGAGTCTTTGGCTGCTCTGTAAAATGACTTTTCCAGAAGAATCCATTTTGCTGACGTTGCAGAGGAAGGGTCTGCTCCCAGCATTCCCCCGTACCCTCTGCAGGCAGGAGTCTTGGGCAGAGGCAGGGACCTCAGCCCCTGCTCCATGTTCTGGACCCGCTTTCCCTTTGTGTTGGGTGCACGTGTGTCACTTCCCTCCTTCCAGCTCTTTCTAACTTAGATCTAGGTGCAGTGAAGATATGGGAGATGCTGAATTGCATGGCAGGGAGAGGACAGCACGGAGGGTGAAGGACTGCAGAGGTGTGGCCATGGGACAGAGACGGGACCCTTGGGAGCACCTCTGTTCTGGCTGATGTGCACATATCTCCCTCACAATGTCCCCACTTTGTTATTACTCTGATTTTAAAACTAAGTAAGTTAAAGATCAGATAAAAAAATGTCAAAATATAAATAGAATTCCAAGGCTAGAAGGTATAAGAAATAGACCTTGGAACCTGATCTTTTAGATGCAAATTCCTTGTATGACAGTACTTATTATAATGACTGCATATTGCAAAAGTAGAAATGGTAGTGAGTGTTGGAAACAACAGTATTGGAAAGGGACATTAAAGACCAAGAAGTGCTCTTCAGGTTTAATCAATATATGCAGAGTCTGCCAAAAAAAACTACGCAGCAGGGAAAGAAAAACTTGTATAAATATTTTAATACTACATTTACTGAGACATTATGAGATTAATACAAGTTACCTTTGGCCTCTACAATCACAAGAGGTGCTCAGAGTGGTGGCCACTGGCTTCCAGACATTTATTACTATGGTGAACTGCTGAAGCGTACATACCTTTTTTTTGGCAGACTCTGTATTTTTGAAGAACACAGAATGACACTGTATTGTCAGCCTTTTGCAACTACAGTGAAATACAAGAGATTGTAAAGAAAAAAATATTTGCTTAGCTGGCAGTTTTGGAGACTAGAAGTCCAAGCAGCATTGCACTGGCTCAGAGGATCTCTGGGCCACATTGCAGCATGGTGGGGGTGTGGGGTGTTTCTATGTCCATGTGGTCTCTTTTGTGATCATGGGGGCTCCACCTTAATGGCCTATTCTGAAATCATCACTTTCCAAGGGCCCCACCTCTAGAAACCACACATTAAGGAGCCAGCAAGTGTATTATCACTTTATCTCATCTACATTGAACTGAAACTCCTAGCTGATGCAGTAGGAAGGATAAATATGCAAAAGAAAAAAATGCATTATTCTCATGTAATGTAGGTATCTACACAGGAAAATGAACACATCAAAGTTTTCAAATA